ATCTGTTTTGTTGCTATTGGGTTTTAAACATGTAAGTTTCAGAAAATATCTTTAATAACTTCAATCTATTTTATCTTTAATTCTAATGCTAAATGCTAAAAAACGTTTGGGCTATATAGGGGTTGGTTTTTTGTCTTTCAATGTTACTTTTTTTATTCTTAGCTTAGCTAGCTTTTGTCAAACATTTATTGTCAAATTTTTCATCTCAACTTAGTTTTGTTGCGTCTCAGACTATTTAAGCTTTTCTTTTTAAACTTTTTTTATACATTATAATCTTTCTATTATATATATATTACATTAATCAAATCTATTTTTGGTAAAATTATATGGAGTTTTCTTTGCTAAAAATGCTAACCATTATGATTTCTACTATATTTTTGAATGTATTTAAAGAGTGTTTTTTTTATCCTGGTCTTTTCCCCTGTCCTTCATCTTTGTCTTTAAAATACTCTAAAGAACAATATTCTGAAAAGAATAGATGAATAATCACAGAGACCTTTCTTCTCTGGTCACTACAGGAAAGCTGACTCAGATTGTTTTCGGCCACTGGGATGTGGTGACTTGTCTGGCCCGGTCCGAGTCCTACATCGGAGGAGACTGTTACATCGTGTCAGGCTCCAGAGATGCCACTCTCCTGCTGTGGTACTGGAGCGGAAGACACCACATCATTGGAGACAACCCTAACAACAGTGAGTGGTTGGCCTCTGTGTGTATGTGTGTGTGTGTGTGTGTGTCTTCTCACCAGAGGTTCACAGCATCACCATCTCTCCTCCAGGTGACTATCCAGCTCCCAGGGCAGTACTAACAGGACATGACCACGAGGTGGTGTGTGTCTCCGTCTGTGCAGAGCTGGGATTGGTCATCAGTGGAGCAAAAGGTTTGTGTGCTTTCCACCTACACTCTCTGGGGGACAGACCCAATCATCCGTTTCTCAAAAGTTTATTTTTCTCTTGTTGAAGAAACAGTACATTAGGAACAAATAGTTCATCAGTCAAACACTGTAAACATTTGGCTCAGGATGAAACTCATTAGTGTTAACCTAAGGTTTTTTATTGGGGTAAATAGGTCTTGAGGCAATTATGTATTCGCCTCAGTGCCTCAGGCTGCTGCATTCCAACTCCGTCCTCAGACAGTGAATACATTGCTAGCTCTACTCTGTCTCTGATCACTTAGTTTAGCCCAATACAACCACTACTACCACCAAGAGTGTAAAATAAAATGAATTATTTATTTAGTAAATTACTTATATTCAATGGAACAATCAGAAAGAAAACAAATACTTGAACATTTGTTGTCACGTTTATATGAAATTAGTGTCAACACAGATACAATACAATACAATACACTAGAGTAA